CAGCTGATCGTGTAGCCTTTTAAATTCTCGAGTAAAGCGGGTATTTAAGCCTCGTCGCAGCTACGTTCTGTCGTATCCTCCGACAAACCCCTCTTTCCTCAACATCCCTCCTTTTTCGCTACGACACAACTTGCGACGGGACATGTGTCGTAACTTGCGACGTGTCGTAGATGGACTTGCGACGCCCTGGATCCCCCCGGCCTGAATATGTGAGTACGTCTATCGTCCGAGACCACGCTGGAGTTAACGGCCCGCAGTTCCCAGATAAGCTGCTTGTTGACAGTGTGCCGGGACGTGCACTGTCCGTCACTATCAGCTCCCTGTGCGTCGGCAGCGCTCCCCGCTCGATTTCACCTCGCGATGACACGCTATACGAGGCGGGCCATTCAATGCCGACGCAACTGGCCCTGATGATGTGTTCAAGTAGCTGGAATGAATTGTGCAATCCACAGAGTAACGTGTTCATCGGAGGGACGATGCGAACTTGCATTTGCCATATCCATTTGCCCACCCATGCTGCGAATTTCCCAATCGCATTGGGTTGGACAAGATTTGGGCGCTATTTTTTATTTAAAGCCATAGACGAAATGGAAAAAGAGAACCACCGCCAACCGGTGCATGGCGATGGTTTCCCTATGTACTTGGAAATGCCGGTGTCACAGGGAGCGGGCTTAGGTTGAGGCCCCCGGTTGTCGGCTTTTAAAGAGTGGATTTTAGAAACACAATGGGCAGTCATTTGGTACATATATGCTTTAAATAATTAGAGAGCACGAAATGGTGGCGGCAAATGGTTGTTGTTAGAACCGTTGGTTATAAGTGCTATTTCCGATGATATCGATTCCACGATGTTTCTAGCAAGAGGTGCAGTGACGATGGAATTTGTATCTGGGGCTGCAGATTTACCAAGCAGATGAAATAAAGGTGCAAAAATGTAGGTGCCGGTCCCGTAGCTCAGTCGGTAGAGCGTTGGACTCCACGTGGTGAGAGCACGCGTTCCCGGTTACAACAGTACGGGTTCGAAGCGCGACGGGCGCTCAACATTTATGGGTCTCCTGACAGGCATGGTTGCAGTTGGTGGCAGGCCGTAGCCAGGCGAAGTCAGTGAGGGGACCGGCCGTGCGCGTCTTTGTGCGCACGTTTAACTTTGGACTCTAAATTCTGCCATAGAACCGGCATTGCGCGGGCTCTGTCCTTGAGTCTTTCCAATCAAAAGGTTCGGACTAAATTTATGAAAAAAGAATTATGTTTTAAACACGATAAAAAAGCAGTTAGGATATGGCTAAATATATTATACATTTACATGAAAGCCGGCACAAGGCATCCTGTTATGCATTGAATTCACGTTGTAGCGATATGGTTAAATTAATCACATTTATGTGCGGAATATAGGTACAAAGCATGATCGATTTATCTAACCAGAAGGCCGTCTACTAAACCGGCCTAAACAAACAGGAAGAAACGATCCAGGCTTGTCTTCATGTTCCGACCTTCAATTACTACATGGGAAAATGTTATCGGTTGACTGCTACCTGGATTAATGCACAGCTTTGTCGCGTTTAATTATTTCCCTTTCCGTCTCAATAATGCAAGGACGACTGGCTAAACCGAGGTGCATTAGGGTAATGTCATAGGTCTGCTTCTATTTATGACTGCACTTATACGGGTGACTTTTAGCTAACGAGCACCCGCTATTTGATCAGATTTCAGCAACACCTATACACCCGGCAGAGTCCAGCCCTCGTAATAGGATGACCAAAGTTACGCACCTTGTCAGCTCAACCAGCGCGATTGGACAGGATCGGCCCACGCTATGCTACACTAACGAGTCTCTCGGAGACCGAACAGACTCGTGGGTGGAGCTGATAGGTGACTGCAGGGGCTATCCTGTGCAGGACGGAGCATAACGAGCTGCGCAAAGAACATCGGTGTCTGACCACTTAGTGTGCATCTTAATAATGTGACCGATCCCGTAAGATAGTAATTGGAAACAGCTGGAGAACTAAAATAGCACCGCGTCTTGTTATCGATCATTATATGAACGGTTAAGATTTGGGTGCAAACGGCCAACAACATCCAACCTGTGACGACAAATCTGAGGACGAGATGCCTAACACTTTTTTTCTGAATGGGATGCAATGTGCGATCCACATACGATATAAAACAAAGCACACATGAGACGTGAAGCAGGCTGCAACGACTATTTGGCTGCAGAGGTAGCCCTGGCGAGCGGTCAAAACCTACGGATGGTTAGGGGAGAGCGGGGAGAGTTGTATCATGTCCAAGTTGTATCAGGGCGAATTGTGCCAAACTTATCCAATGGATGGCGCTCGCGACACGACCAGCCGACGAGGTTTTCCGGGCGCCATCTTTCCCTGTTCTGTCTTGTGGCTGAGTGGACGCGTCTCGAGGTGAGAGCCGATTTTATGTTTTTTTAATGTCATTCTAAAAAAATAAGTTTCAAGAAAATGTGTGTTCTGGGCATTTAGATGTGCACGAATTTGAAAGATCTCCGTAGCGGTGGTGAGGGCAGGTTCTAAGGCTGCGTGAGTGAAAACGGATTTTTCCAGCTGTCCGCTGTTTTTTGAGCACGAGGATGTTTTTTCCAAGATGGCGGCTAGGTACATGTTGTATCAGAGCCGGGTGGGGTATGTTGTAACATGTATGTATGTATGTATGTATGTATGTATGTATGTATGGGTATGTTGCTTTTGATCGCGAAAGCTAAGCCCTGGCTCGCGTTTGTAGGTAGCTAGTCAATGCTCGTTCCATTTCGGCACAATGTGTTGGCTTCTTTGCTCTTAACGGGCCACTTTTGCGTCTAGTCTGTTGATGTTTCGTTCGGGTTGCATTGACCTAAGTTTGGTCTAATAAAGTGAAGCCTTTGAGCATACCTATACATTGTATTAACCCCATTTAATGTTGTTGTTATGTTCAAAGCCAGTAGCAAGCATAGGTACTCCCTGAAACGTGAAATAGTGATACAAATTACCCCACCATGTGATACAACTCACCCAAGTCATGGGGCAAGTTGTATCAAAAACATTGTTCTATTCGGGAGACCGTAGAAGAAAAACTGGTAGAGGTAGCGGAAAAGTTACTTTGCACAAAAAAGCAGAAGAATCAAGGAAGGGGAAAGTATGGAAATAATGAGTTTATCACGGATAGTTACGAGGTTATGGTTCTCGGAGTAAAAACTGATACAACCCACCCCACTCTCCCCTATTCGTGATGGGCTTGGACAACGGGCATCACCTAAACCAAATGCCGATTGATGTTCCCACTTTATGCAGTTAACAGCAGTTCGGTCAATGCAATCCTATAGGTATTTATTGCTCTAAACATTATCGATATTTTGGTTTTATTGTATCAAGGTATCTACGATAAGAAAGTTTAGATGTCTTAACATATTTTAACCCGCGCCCGGCTGGGGGTCCTGGATTTCCACGCCCTGCTGGGGGGGGGGGGGGTGTTTGAACACCCCCCCTTGTAACTCGGCTCCTGGGCCACGTAGCGATACGCGGAAGGCGGCGTTCGAAAGAGCGTCAAAAATAATGACGAAATCACTTCGGTCAATTTTTTGGTCAGGTCAAAGGTCAGGTCACCAGAGGTCATTGAAGGTAAAATTTCGCCGATTTCCAGGTCGAATGTCGAAAATTTCCAAGAAGCCAACGCATCACTCGGGAACCAATAGAGCTACAGCGCCGCGGAAAAGCGCATTCGATAGCCCTATTAACGCCCTTTCTGAGTAATTCTCTCAGATTTGACCTAACGTCAACGGTTTTGCCTCCAGGGGGCAAAAACTGCAAAAATAGCCGATTTTTTTGGAAACAGTTTTTCTGCAATAACTTTTGACCCAAGCCTTGTACGAGCTTACTTTCACAGGCATCGTGTTCCTCTCGTCAAGACGCATCGAATGAACTATAACTTGACCTTGAAAAGTCAACTTGAAAATTTGACCTCAGGTCAAGGTCATGACCTGACCGGAAAGGGTCATGTTGCATATCAGTCGATCCGTATCGTCGAGCTGAACACATCTAAGGCGTTTTCATCGCTCTAGCATGCCTCTATCAAAAGTTATTTGCGAAAAACTATTAGATACCATTCGTGACCTAAGATGACCTCAGGGCATAAACAGGGGTCACGGACACCATTTTCATGTTCAGTGTGTCTAAACCACTTGTAATTCGGTGTTTGGGAGTGTTTATAATGTCTTTCATCCAAAAGAGGCGCATTTCAATTTTCTCCCATTGACTTATAATGGGGAGGTCGAAAAATTGACCTGACCTTAGGTCATCGATATCAAAATTCTGAGATATACATTTTGTACATGCTATTGCTCTTAGCAATCGCTGAAAGTTTCAAAGCGATCGGTCACTCGGTGTAGCTATGACAGACATTGAAACTTTTTATGAGGTGAGGTCACTTCAAGTGACCTGGTGACCTGACCTTGAATGACCTTGGTCTGAAATTTTCACAACATGTGTAGAATTGATGTATGATAAGGTGTACCAAAAACGGCGGCGCTCCGCGCCGCCGTTTTTGAGATATTCGCGAAAAACCACAAGGGGGGGTGTTCAAACACCCCCCCAGCAGGGCGCGGGTTTTAAAACTTTTTAGTTCCGATATCCGAAAAGGTGTGTTGCGAAATGATTAAATTGTGATTTTCAACATTTTTTTTCAGTTGTTGTCGCAGCAGAAAACTAACCTGCATACCTGAAAATATTCATATGCATAATGCATATAGTATTCTCCCACACCTTCCTTAAACGCAATGCATGTGCTCGTATGCGAGCTTCCTCCCCTCTGCAGCTGACCCCTGGCCCTCCCACCGTCGGAGGGGTCACAACAACACCACGCCGGCACGTGGCTGCCGCCGCAGGCTCCACAGCCGTCAAACGCGCGACAAATCGACCCCGGCCGTGCGCACTGACGGTGGTAAACAGCTTTTTCAACGGCGCGGCGGCGTGACGGCGGCAGCGGCGGCGCTGCGGGGGAGGGCAGGGCGACAGACTGACGAGCTGGCGCTGCGCTGTGTGCGAGCGAGGCGACCGCGACCGCTGCGAGCCCAGTTGGGCGCACGGGAGCACGCGGTGAGGGGACAGGACAGGTTGGGAAGCCCTGGCGCTGAGACGCGGAGGCGAGTGATTAGTGGGGTCGCGGCGACGGGATCGACGGCGGATGGGTCACAGCTGGCTCCAGTGAAGCGGAAACTGGAAACGCAGACGGATCTTTCAAAGGTAAGTGACCAGTTTAATTTTTGGACCCGATAGGACCGACGATATAGAATGAAAACTGTTTAAAGTTCTTTTAGTTAAGTTCCTTGACGTAGAATTTTATTTTAGAAATAGAATATAATTACATTTTAAAGCATGACAAAGGCACCTACTAGTTTGACTAATTCTCTACGATCCTTGAGTGTAATCGATGTTACGTTTAATCAACGCACTTCCTTGTGCCAAGGTCCTTAAACTGCCTGGGGTACCGTCTACAATCTACATACATAAGCCGTTTTCAGGACGGTCTATCTGGCGAATGCACCTGCTTTGACCAAATCTGCACCAATTCTTTTATACAACAAATATTTTCATATATTTAAATTATTTCAGTGTTAGATAGGCATGCGCGCCATTTCGATATTCTGTATTCGGAATTCAGTGAATGTTGGACATATCTAGTCCTGCGGACGAGACAGAAACAATGTTACAGAGGGAAGGCACTGCATACATGTCTCCGGGTATGGGCCTCGGACTGGTGCATTTGAAGAAGTTGTACGACCACGATAGGTGCGGTATCTGCAGCGACGACGTATTCACAGCCGCTGAATGGGCAGGCTGTTGCCATGGTTCGAGGCTCGGGTTTCGACGTTATGCTTGATTGCAAATTAAGATATGTCCAACATAGATAGGCATGCGCGCCATTTCGATATTCTGTAGGTATTCGGAATTCAGTGAATGTTGGACATATCTAGTCCTGCGGACGAGACAGAAACAATGTTACAGAGGGAAGGCACTGCATACATGTCTAAGTGTGTTAATAGAAAATAATGTTACAACCTTACGCTGGTAGCGGTAGGTCGAAAAATATTGTTTTGATGATTGTTATTAATAAATTGTTTTCTAAACACCAATCGACCTATTGGGTTCACAGAAAATGATGAGGGCGCAATGAGGAGACCGGGCGCAGATTGGGCACTCTCAGTGGCGGATCCAGGGGGGGGGCAAAATGGGCATTTGCCCCCCCCCCCAAACGGCATGATTTTAACATTGCGCCTATGGACGATGCATGGAAAGAATCGATAAATTTTTATGGTTTGCCCCCCCCCCCAAACCTCTGAGCTGGATCCGCCTCTGGGCACTCTCCCCTAAAGAGAAACGGGTAACTAAAGAAATATTCTCGAAGACGGCAGGGTCGTAGAAAACGAGTTATAAAGTACCTATAGGTAAGTTTCGACAAGTGACCAAGGCTTTTCAATTGTTTTTAATGAAAAATCTGTCCCTGCACTCCGTCGTTCTCCAATTCCAATTATTTCGCATAGTTAAAGTCGAAACGTGAATCTGTCTACAAACACCGTTTAGACATACGTTAGGTCTACATAGGTGTTAACATTACGAGTAGTTTCAGTTCTTTGGAATGCACGGTCGTATGATGAAACTTGACTGAAGTCACGACGGTTTTCACATGGTTCTATGTAAGTGCAATCACTTGAGCCAAAAGTAGCAGTGACCTTTCAGCGTTCCATGAGCAAATAGTGTCACATACGGCACGACACAGCAATGGCATTTGTGCAGAAGTAAAAGCAAACCGAGCCGCGTGTCTTCTTCGGATCAATTTACGTTTATGATATCATTACTCCGTCGACGGAAGCTCATGCCTTCTGTACAGTGATGTACAATGAAGTCATCACTCTATTTTTATCTCTATGTAGAGAGTTTGTTGCAATTGTGAATTTATAAGTGGTGTTAGGGTTGGGAGGAGGATGAGGATAATTGGGAGAAGGAGGAGGATGTATGAAGAGGTGTGGATGGGTGTGCGGATAGACACAGGCCCGCCTACTGGCTGCTGTTACTGTTCCTGCTATTACTATTACTCGTGTGTCTAGGGGTGTTTTCTAATCTGTACCATCTGCACAATCCTACTCATCGTTGTCTAGGGGTATCGTCTTAACACTGTACAATCCTGTAGCCGTCAACCAATAACCGTTGTCTAGGGGTGAACTGAAACTTTACCAACTGCTGTGGTCTAGGGGCATTAACTGATCGACTGTTTGCTGGAGATCCACCAGCCCGTTCGTCCGAGTTGTCATACTGCCCGTGTTCCCACATTCGTTGCCCAGCCTCGAGAAAGAACGTGAAGGTATACGAACTAAATATGTATTGTATTTAAAAGCCGAAACGTATAAAAGATGAATGAATCAAAAGACGAATGAATAAGGCCGAAACAAGTCGAACAACAAAAAGCCAAAGTGAGCAGGGTCACGGTAACCGTGCCTTGCTAAAATTGCCAAAGTGCCAAAACCATTTCGAGACCATCGAAACAAGAATCAAGCCAAATAATAACACCAACTGAATATCGCCAAAGGGTAGAACTGACTCAGTGCAAGCCAAAGATGTTTGCCAGAAAAGCCGAAATAAACTGAGTCATGTTCCATGATACAAGAACCAACATGTTACACCTTAACTAGTCACGGTACCGCAGCCTTAACCTACAAGTACCTAAATATCCTACGCAAATGTGTGTACGTGTGTGGCGGTGCTTGAGTCGAAATTTCGGCCGCGGCAGCGGTCACGAACAGGACAGAGGCTCACAAACCCTCTCAATCCGCCGGTCCTAAGACCCTTGGAGACTAGGGTTTGTATAGCCAGAGTCCAGCCCGTGCCTTTCCACCAAGGCCGGAACTGCCCAAGTACTTACATGATCGCAAAGAAGACCACACTGCGTCGGGACCTCGGGCACGAATCTCCCGCCCGTGCGTCACACGCGCCTTTTTATACGTTTTCACGCAGTCGCAAGGCCGGCCACCTTCTAGCCGGCGGCGAGCTGGCGCGGCCGGCTGTCTGTGTACAATATCGCTATATGTCGCATATGTGTTTTGCTATTCTTGCTAATCTATCAATACCGCAGAGTATTCACAGATAATAGCGCAATCTAAGTCATTGCATAGCGATCTGCTTATCGATTGCACAGCGTTAACTACATATTCGCGCAACTTCTGAAGGCCTTATTTAAATACAAACACCTTATATGATCTAAATACCGTCACCATGGCAAACGTCACCTAACCAACTTAATTACCTATTAACTGCCTTGACACACTGAACTACCTATGGCATATCTCAATACATCGACACTGGTATTACACCTCCGCACCTAGTTATGCGTTTTGCTAAACATACTAACTCCGCCACCGAACGTAACTATTCTAATATAGCATGGACAATAAACACACGGCCAGAACGCTCCTAAATGTACAGTCCTCATCTACACACTTGATGCAATTAGCATCAATTCTGCGCGACCATCACCAATGTAGAGGTCCACCCAGGCTCTACACTGAGAGGGGTTTAAACCGAAGGAAGGTTGATCACGCTGCACTGGTGTCCTTTTTTTATAGTTGCTTTCACTTTTTGTTGATACCGATACAAATGCCGGCTGGCATCATACCAGAATCGCCCAATGTCCGAGTCGCTCTTCTCCGCATCGAACCACGCATCGCCGCGAACACTGTCCCTTGGGATCCCTCACTGTCACTGCCCTCCATTGCACGCCAAAACTCGCAATGTCCGCAATATAGCACTCAGTAACCTCCTCACGGTATTCGCGCAAGTAACACCAATCGGTCTTCCGATCTGGCCTGCCTCTCAGTCCCTCAGTTGATAGGAATATATAAGATGTGTCAGACGTTGTGACACTGCTAGGGCTGCATGGATAGCTTGCATTATCCCTGCCCGTCTTGCTAACGATCACTGTGACCAGCGTCCCTGGGTGTGCCCCACGGGCACAGTCCGCCGTGATCTGCTGCTCGCTATTTGGTATCGACATTGCTGCCGATCCCGACCTGTCGTCATCTGTTGATAGCAAGACATGCACGCCTGCAGGGTCTACAGCTGTAAATAGAAGCATAGTCACCCTTCCCTCCCTGAGACCTGTTATCGTAATGCGGGGCGGTAGCTAAGAAATATGACCAGGCTTTTTCAAACGCTCTTTCTTTTGGGCAGTATATCGAAACGTTACTTTGCATCGTTGTGCATAAAATGCTGCAAAAGTTGCTCCAGGTGTATCTTTACGTTATTATGCGTTTCACAAGGTTTCATATGCTAATGCTAATGGTCTCCGGCCCGCGCCGTCCTTCGCGCTTCTCCGCCGTCATGCCAGTAATCCCTGAGGGTGTGTAAATCTAAACACACTGAAGTGCCCATTTGCCCTGGATCTGCCGCGCTCGCCGCCTGTGAGGTCATAGGTCAATGGGAATTTGAGTGTGTACATGCGATTATGGAAATGCTTCGGGAGGGGGCCCAAAAAGGGGGGGTGTCATCGAGGGGGGGAGTCGAGTCGCTAACCGAAGTTATAGTATCTTCTTGAGCGGTATTATGGCGTTTTACCGTCTTTTCCACTTCGGTTGGGGGGGGCAGAGTAAGAGAGGGGGGGTAGAGTATGGGAGGAGGTCAAGGGAAACCGTCCGTTCATGCCGTCTCAGAGGGGGGGGGGGCGCGTGTGTGGGCGAGGAAGAGAGGGAAAATAAGGTGAACGATGAATCGAGGGCGGATGGATGATGAGGGGAGAGGAAAGAAAGAGAGAGAGACCGGGAGATGAGGCGGCCCAGGCGGTAGTGGCGAAACCGCCACGTCCACCCGTCGTTACCTTTGAAGTCGTTACCTTTGAATGCTCTATGCGGCCGTATTGCCCTGGTGCGAGACCCGCTGATGTGATCAGATTTCTCACACAATGACAAGGCGCGACATTGAAAACGTTATAACGTTATACATTGTTGTCAACATTGAAATTACGTCAACATTGAAACATTATACTGCTGTCGACTGAAAGAGAATGAATGCCCTTGATCTCGAATCAGATGTGAGGAGAGAATACACGATAGGCACTTTAGACATCTGATAGACCTCCGCGAGATAGCCTATTATTTTGATGAAGCGCATTAGGTATAGCACATAACCGTTACCGAAATATCTGATGGCTAGTTGTATTTCAGCGCCCACTTAGATCAGCCAGGAAGAGTATTGAAAGCATTATCTATTTAAGATAATCCTTTCAATAGGTACTCTATAACTGTGGATTATCCATTTTTAATGGAAGTTCGATTGTACACGTATTAGTATTGGAGAGCAATAACAACGATGACAAATTATTTTTCAGATTGCATGTTGCTACTTTCGAAAATGAGCTTAAATATGGGACTGGAAGTGTATTAAAATAAAATGTAACCCTTATACAGTAGTCAATTTCGCAAACAGAATGCAAAACACCAATCATAGAGTAGATTACCAGAATTACAGGCAGCAAAAATAATCCAACTTTAACAAATTCCAATCGCCAGTAAACTTTGATACATTTTCAGACCTTCCACCATGTTGGAGTGGTTAGCGGCCTGCCTCGTGGTTGTTATGCTGGTGATGATTGTTCGGGAAATCTTCCGAAAGCCGGCAAACTTCCCACCAGGTAAGTAAAAGAGAAGCGTGGACGATTACAATCATCTTTGTTTGGATCATTCATTAGTTATCCTGCATATTTAGTCACATTACACTAACAGGCATAGGTATGAACCCTTCAGGAGTGAAGTCAATCGATCAAATGATCGATATAATAATTAAAGAGCTCATTTACCCTCAACCACCATGATTATTTAAAAAGACAACACTAAAAAGAAGTGTAAAAAGGCAGTTTCTTCAGGCAGAGGGCAGCGCAATGGGCTTCGTATCGATCATTTCATTTTTTTCATGTCGACATGAGTCACCGTGAACGTTCCGATCACACACGTGGATGCTTTCCAGCTGGACGCAGCAGCAGACTATCACGTTTTGTGCGTGTTGCAGGTCCTCCGGTAGTTCCACTCCTTGGAAGTTCGGTGGCGATCAAGCTTGGGTCGACTCTCCCGCATCTAGTGTTCGAAAGCCTCGGCAAGATATACGGAAAAATCATTGGTAAGAAGGTGTCATGAATGAATGAATGAATGAATGAATGAATGAATGAATGAATGAATGAATGAATGAATGAATGAATGAATGAATAAATGAATGAATGAATAAACGGATGAATGAATGAATGAACGAGCGAATGAATGAATGAATGGATGGATGAATGAAGAAACGGAGGAGCAAACGAACGAACGAATTAAATGAATGAGAGGATGGATAGAATATACAAACAAACGAATACATTGAATGATTGAATGAGCGAATCACAGCCTGACTGGTATATCAGCAAAACATGAAACAATATCTTAATTCACGGATTTAATAGATTAAATACACCAGGGTCAAATGCACTATATGGCATACTGGAGTCTAGGAAACACGTATCGGCGGTACCTGCATCAATGATTACTGATAATCGTTTTTGATGTGCCAGGCTTCTACCTGTTTGGTCAGCCCGTGATCATTCTGCGGGACTACGATCTGATACACGAAGCGTTCAGCAAGACAGAGTTTTCCGGTCGTGAGCAGACGTTTGTCATACAAAACCGGTCCTTCTTCATGGGAAACGGTAAGTGGAACAGTCTGCGGTTGGCTGGGGCCTCAGCACTATAGGCATAACGGCATGTTTGACTATTTATTCACTGTTGTCCATTGCACGATAGGGATTTACTTGTGAACGGCCGAAATGCGCGTCGTATGTTCCATGCGGGGGTATTTAAACGCAGTGTGGGACAGTACCTAATCGTTGGTTTGTTGCCGGACAATGCGGAACAGTATCAATCGTGCATTGCGATTATACAGTATCATGTGTGCATCGCGGAGCAGCATCGGGTGTATTGCGGTACAGTATCATGTGTGCATTGTGGACGGTACAATATCAATCGTGCAATTCGTGCATTGTGATTATACAGTATCATGTGTGTATTACGGGACAGCATCGGGTGTATTGCGGTACAGTATCATGTGTGCATTGTGGACGGTACAATATCAATCGTGCATTGTGATTATACAGTATCATATGTGCATTGCGGAGCAGCATCGGGTGTATTGCGGCACAGTATCCTGTGTGCATTTTGGAACAGTATTGTAATTTGAAAGTTGTCCCTTTGTATATGCTGCTATGCTGCTCTTATCGCTAGGTATGTCTAGGGGATTGTGTCCTTCACTATATTACTCTATGTGTTGTCTAGGGGTATTACTGATGAAAACAAGATCGATATATGTGTGTGTTTCCTTTTCTTCCAACGCCGTCCATTCCACCAGCACACAGACATGAACAAAAAAACAGATATATTGAAATGAGCCGAAAGATGAGACTGAAGCCGAATAAATAAAGAAACGATCCAACAAGGCTGAAAATCAGTCCTGCAGGAGTTGCTGAGGCAATCGGGCAGGCCGATGTAAAGAACTGAGAGAAGTCCGAAAATCAGTCCCGCACGAGCTGCTATCGCACTCGAGCAGCAGGCTGATATTGATGCCGGAAATGCCGAAAGAACAGTCTGCAGCTGCCAAGTCGTGCCAATGGCCTTTCTCGTCAGCTCCACGACAGCAGGCAGGCTGAAACATAAGTTAGCTCAATAAGACCGGACACTTGTGAACGGTCATCGAAAAAGGGCCGAAAGGGATAACCAAATGACAAGCCGAAAACGATAAAACATAACCGTACAACCTTATACAGAGTGGATGACCAAGTCCCTGTCAGACGGACTTTCTGAAAGAGGAAGGTCAGCTACCTTTGTCCCCATAGTGCAGCGCAGCTCCCCGAGAGCTGGCTGGGGCAGACCGCCCGTTCTCTTATACTTACGTGTGCATGTGGAGTGTAGTTTGGAGAGTGGATGTTGTTGAGTGTGGTGTGGACTGTGTGAGTGTGTCGCTGCTGCGTCTGGCGCCCGTTTTATACCTCTCCGACAGTCGTTTGCCCTTGGTGTGTCGTCAACCCATTTTTCACGATCTAACCCTCGCCGAGTGTTTTTTGCTGTGGGCGAACGGTGGAGGTCAGCGAGATAGGAGCCGAGCGAGCCGCCGCCGGTTGGTCGGCCTTGGCCTCCGGGCCGACTGACGGGGCGCTTCCCGTCGCTGGAAATAATGAGTGTCGCCGATGCCGCTCAGAGCAGACGGAAACGATATTTCTCACATCCCTCCCATTTTTATGGCGAACGAAGAACTGTAACCTTAGGGGGTGAACGGGTATACGTACGTAATAATAGACTTACAGTCTGACTGGGTCAAACCGAGTTTGACTTGGACAATGGCAAATGCGGCGTCTTAACCCGCTTTAACTGTTTTGTGCCTTTCGAAAAATATGACAATAGTGCAAAATACATAATCCCTTAATAGCTTGATAGATAAGAGCACACAACTTTAGCTTCAGCTTTAGCATTGCACCATGGTAGTGCTGCTGGATACAAGATCGTGGAAAAAGGCAATCACTGCACCTTTACATTTATATTATTCTGGGAACCACATCTCCTTGCTACTGACCTGTGGACTGTTTCTGGGATGGGAATTTCGTGGTTTACCGGAAACGATTTACAAAGGAGCATGTCGTCAGTCGTGCAATGTAAAGGGTACGCTTGTTAACGATTCCCAATACGGGCTTCGACTTTAAAAACTCACGAGTGATAACGTGATGGGTCCATCCGTCTGCTTTATGGCCGCCACACCTGGAGGAGATAAGCTACAACCGACGGGCGAGTGATCGTTTGCCTCCGTTAGAACAGAAGGATGCGTTTCCGACTTCTGGCAGCACTCAGCATCGAGATGTTGGTCCTAAGGGCTCGGGTGAGGTGTTGAGGCTGAAGTCAATCTGACATGCCGAGAGAATGGTGGTGCTTGTAGACCTTTTGGTATCTCCGATACCTGTGTAGGACGCACTCTGCTGCTGGCTCCAATGACCTGAGGACATTGGGAGGGACCAGACGATGCAAGCATCGCAGCACACGAGCAGTTTGTCCTATTGTCTATGCCGGTTCTATGCCCGCGCATCTTTTGGTCTGCACAGATCCATGTCGCTGGATCTAGTTTCAAGGCAATGCACAAGATTGTTGCTTCACCATAACTTATACCTCGAGCACCAACTGACCCTTATCACGACCTTCATGCATACGCTGAAGCAGATAGTAGCAAACTCGTCTGCTTGACTTTAACAAGTGAGCACATGCCCGTTGGCTTTGATCTATTGATCTCAAGGGTTGTTCTTACTTTTGTTCGTGACCCGACATCACCGTCGCTGGTCACTCACGAGACGGTGGCGCTCCATGCAGGGTTGGATAAATCCATCAGGACCTCCACTCGGCAGCGCGGTGTCTGTTGCAGACAATACAAAGAAAGTCAACCACAGTAACTGGTACACCTTCCATTCAATATGACGTTGACTCTTCGTTCAGCTTTGGGATTGCCAAATGATTCACATGAGTGCTGAACGAGTCACATAGGATTGCAGGTTCTAACTGCATAGGCTTTCGGGTTCATATTCAAATCGTTCCACAGGAAAAGGTGTGGTCAGTTTGCACAGTTGATGCTACTCCAGAATCTTGCTATAAAAACATTACCCTAAGTCTTACTCGAAAGTCGAGACAACGAAATCAAGCAAATATTTCGTTAATGTTGCATTGTCCCTTACCGTTGCGGTTCTGCTCGGTTTAGCTTTACTGGAAAGACCTTCCCTCGGGACGTCTCGTGCCTCGTTCCTGCGCTGAAATCGAACCCTTCCGGCTTCAGTCAGCTCACATGGTAACTGCTGACGGCCGAATTACTATTTTTCTTTGCCTTGTTATCTCAACTGCAAGACCCACGCAGTAATTCACGATGAAGCAGGACATGAAGCATTTATGTCTAGCTTCCTACTCTGGAGATGAGCCACGGGATGGACTCCTGAAGAGTTTTGCACTTGCTATGACTTGCAAAGTGCAGCTAAGCAAGGATTCGAGTCGTACTACCTCCTGCCATGGAATGGAGATAAAACGAGACGAAAACCACTTTCCGTCTTAAACACTATCTTTCCCTCTGCAGTCACCTGAAGTCTACTCACATTTCAACTGTTTGTCGGGTTTGCTGTTTTTGCAACATCTGTGCAACGGAGCACAGCAACCAAGTCACCTTTCTTATCGACGCTGCGGTCATCTTCTGAAACAAGTTAACGTCGATCGGTTTCGCTGCTTCTGCAACACCTGTGCAAACGAAGCAAAGCAACCGAGTCATCTTCCTAAGACACCTGTCTTATCGACACTGTGGTCAATTATCCGACACTGGTCAATTCCTGAAGTACCATTCCTAAAGTAATTATGGTGTTGGTCGGGTTTGCTGCTTCTGCAACACCTGTGCAATGAAACAAGCAGCCAATTAATCATCTAACCATCTAACCTTGAATGTGAATCACACCTTTCCGATCGACTGCTGCGACTACCTTCCAAAGTCATTAAGCTGTAAGTCGGGTTGCTGCTCCAGCAACTCCTGAGCAGTGCCAAACAAGTCAACCGAGTCATCCTATCTCGGATATAAAACAACCCACCTTCCTTATCGATGCTGCGGTCACCTCCTGAAGCAAGTAAATTGTTGGTCGGGTTTGCTGTACCTGCAGCACCTGTGCAACAAAGTCGAGCAATCAAGTCGTCATCACCCTATAAGACACATTTTCTATCGACGTCACCTTCAAACAAGCAAGCTGTTGGTCGGGTTTGCTGCTGGCCTCTCTCTTGTTCTCGCTGGAGTGTTCGACTCTTTATACTCCGGTAGCAGTGTACTTGCGGTGGGGTTTGCCGCCTTACACGCTCAAATGGTTCCGTTTTTCACATGCTAGGAACACCTCCTCAGCATGGATTGTCGCATGTGCCAGTGACCTGCTGCTCCCGTCACTGCACGCCCAGCCCTTATGCCTAGAGCGTAAGCTGACCGAGAATTTCCACCCATACCCGGCCGGTGTATGTTCGGTGGGCATGGACCCCCAGAGGACCACCCTCTGCCATGCTGCTCAACTCTGGTAGATAGGTGGGGCAGGCCCTATCACCAGTTCTCCTCAGCTCCTACGCGTCCGGGCAGCGACTGCCGTCCTGCTCCACGCGAGCAGACGGTCCGGTGACGTCCTCCTCCAAGAGACGTCTGTAGGCTGCACGTCCTACCTAGCACTCGCCCTTCTCTCAGGGACGTAGGCAGACGGCACGACCTACTCAATAAACGGAAACCACATTTCTGGCCCAGCACATCACCCGCCGAATAACAAATGCGTTTATCATTCTGTCAAATACTTCCCAACTGGACGGGAGTATCACCAATGTTGACTGGGATTATCTTCACAAATCACAACCCTCAACTGACTGATGAGATGACTGTCTGTTTGAACCGAAGCAAAGTTAAAAGTATATTGCCATCCAATGTCAACCAATAATGACTAATTAATACAAAATTTACCTATCAACTAGGGCAAAGGGTCTAACACAGAGAGAATTACTTCACCTGAATTCGACTTACCGGAAACCTGCCACATGCTCTGAAATATTGAAATTCCTGTGTAAGAACTGAATAGATGTAAACGACGTTGTACTCTCACAAATAAATGACATCTCAATCTGTGAAACATTGAACCGATCTTGTTCCACTGAACCTTGTCAACAACTCAGCCATAATGCAACTCTACCAGTGACCGACCAGTTGAAAAAACCCTAAAGAATAACTAATCATGTCAGCGAGGCATCAATCCACTTCAGTCACAGTGACACTTCGGACTGTGTCAGGGCCATGTAAGGTTATGTCAACGGACCTCTGAACTCCGGAAACCTTGATCATGGGATACTTCCGCGATCTTGAAAACACTGATCGAATCGCATATCCGGTTTGGCGATCAGATGATCGAACTCGCGTTGTTTTTATCTGTGGATAGTTATTGCCCCGAACCAGCTAGCTGACCACTGCGCTGCCATGCACCTGGTCACTGCAGACATCCTATGGCAACTACCCCAAAGTTCAATGACACCAAGTCGGTATCATCAGAACGTCCCATGACAACGAAGTCAGTGTTAGCTCCCTAAAGCCAAGTCAGTAACATCTGAGCATTAAAGGTCAAGACAAATCTCAATAACACCAAGTCGAAGTTATCAGATCAAACCTACGGACCAGCTCAACAACACCAAGTCGGCATTATATGAGCACCTTATACGGGCAACTTCTTTATAATAAAGTTCAAGAATACCAAGTCCTGTATCATCCAAACATATTTTCAAGTCTAAGGAATCGAATGGATGTAATCAATGGCGCATATCAGGACATTCATTTATACCTCCTATGAAGTTAGGTAGCCATTTGCTGTCATGCCAACGATGCGAACGAATTAATTTACGAGGCATACGACCGAATAGCGTATCGCCAGAAGGCAAAGTAAGTAGACCCACAGAAGCAAGCAAGACTAACCTGAATCAAATGAACTTCAAGAGATGGTGACCTCGACGGTGCGTCCAATGTAGGTTGTCCATGCAGCATGCGGACCAACAATTGGCCTGACGAACCTAGTAGAGTCTGGAACTCGAGCCATTCGCCATCAAATAAAGGTAACTGGAAATGGAAATACACAAATTTGACCAGTCAATTCATGTTTCACGAACACGGTGAAACGGAAAGTTTACGAATCACGAGCAGCAAGCTACACCAACGAAGATCCACGAATCATTCTGGAACAACAAAGAACCTGAAAACTTTACAAGCAAGAACATGCAATGAATCAACGGCATATACAATCAGGGTCCTGTTCGAGCAGAACAGAGTTTGATATCCCGGACGAGCCCCCAATGTAATTTGAAAGTTGTCCCTTTGTATATGCTGCTATGCTGCTCTTATCGCTAGGTATGTCTAGGGGATTGTGTCCTTCACTATATTACTCTATGTGTTGTCTAGGGGTATTACTGATGAAAACAAGATCGATATATGTGTGTGTTTCCTTTTCTTCCAACGCCGTCCATTCCACCAGCACACAGACATGAACAAAAAAACAGATATATTGAAATGAGCCGAAAGATGAGACTGAAGCCGAATAAATAAAGAAACGATCCAACAAGGCTGAAAATCAGTCCTGCAGGAGTTGCTGAGGCAATCGGGCAGGCCGATGTAAAGAACTGAGAGAAGTCCGAAAATCAGTCCCGCACGAGCTGCTATCGCACTCGAGCAGCAGGCTGATATTGATGCCGGAAATGCCGAAAGAACAGTCTGCAGCTGCCAAGTCGTGCCAATGGCCTTTCTCGTCAGCTCCACGACAGCAGGCAGGCTGAAACATAAGTTAGCTCAATAAGACCGGACACTTGTGAACGGTCATCGAAAAAGGGCCGAAAGGGATAACCAAATGACAAGCCGAAAACGATAAAACATAACCGTACAACCTTATACAGAGTGGATGACCAAGTCCCTGTCAGACGGACTTTCTGAAAGAGGAAGGTCAGCTACCTTTGTCCCCATAGTGCAGCGCAGCTCCCCGAGAGCTGGCTGGGGCAGACCGCCCGTTCTCTTATACTTACGTGTGCATGTGGAGTGTAGTTTGGAGAGTGGATGTTGTTGAGTGTGGTGTGGACTGTGTGAGTGTGTCGCTGCTGCGTCTGGCGCCCGTTTTATACCTCTCCGACAGTCGTTTGCCCTTGGTGTGTCGTCAACCCATTTTTCACGATCTAACCCTCGCCGAGTGTTTTTTGCTGTGGGCGAACGGTGGAGGTCAGCGAGATAGGAGCCGAGCGAGCCGCCGCCGGTTGGTCGGCCTTGGCCTCCGGGCCGACTGACGGGGCGCTTCCCGTCGCTGGAAATAATGAGTGTCGCCGATGCCGCTCAGAGCAGACGGAAACGATATTTCTCACAGTATCGTGTGGTTCGCAGGCCAGTGATAAATCGCAGTCGCACACGTCAATTACATGATAAAATGCGTGGCACTACCGTGCATTAGTTTTGGAACAGAGTCACACCTTGTTCGTGAGTCTCCTTAATGAGATATTTTCCCCAGTGTCACCGTCTGCCTTAGTTTGAGCTGTAACCCCGTCAGCCGTCACCATACCCTGTTCGCGCCCGCAGGCATCATATTCGGCCAGGGCGGCGGCTGGTCGCTGCACCGTCGGTTCGCGCTGCAGCAGCTGCACGACCTGGGTGTCGGCCGGCCGCGCTCCGAGCTGCTCGTCCAACTGGAGGTGGACGCGCTGGTGCGCCGGCTGACCGCCTCCGGGGGCGACCTGGAGGTCAACACCACCTTCTGCATGAGCGGCTGCAACGCGCTGCTTCAGCTGGTCGCCGGGAAACGGTACGAAGGAGGGGTGTATAGGTGGTTGGGTGGGTGGGATGGGATGCTGAGGTAAGGGCCCTCTGCGCCCTGCGGGACACCACCTGCAGTCTGTTCGGGGAGATTGTCGAGGAGCACCGCGGGGTGGAGCTCGGCCGGTGTGGTAGGTGATCGGGTGGGGTGGGTGGTATGGCCATGGTGTAGGGAGTGGATTGTGAACGTAATATGGTGGTCATGACGGAAAGAACTGAACGTAAGCTGAGTTTAGTGGACATTGGGTTCGACTGGGTTTTAATTTGGTCAATGCGATGATAATGGGATGCAATAGTTGCCTGGGGATTTATGCTGCAGCTCCATGATTATGCCACCTACGACCTTACGCTGCGCATTATGGCAAAAATAAAACGGACTCCGTCACCAGAATTACGATTCAGGCTACGTTGTACGTCAACTATCGGCTCATCAAATTTAAATCTCACGGAACCGGCTGTCATTGTCAGTGGTCGGAGTACCAAAATAGCCGGCGGAAACCCGGGACACGTTTGACGTAGGCACCCTTCAATGTATGGGGTCATTGAGTAATCCGTAATGCATTACTCTGAACGTCTTAATAGCGTCTACGAACTGCGTGACAGACTTTAATCAATGCCAGGCATTTGTGATATAAAAGACTCGGATCCGGAGGGGCAATGACAATTATTGGAACAATCCATTGCCACGCATGCACACCCCGGGTCCTGGACGACTTTTGTTCTCCGATTTGTTATATAGGCACCTCAATAGCTAGCTTCCATGAGCACTAGACATTGAACACCAATGTTCTCGAACGTTTTCAATGTCTTTTACTTATAGGATGCACAAGTTCCACTCTACTGCACTAAGCTGTTTGGCATGCCGTATAAGTTAACATATATATAATGAAAAAAAAAACGACAATATCACAAACCTGTATTTGCTCGTCGCCCTCTGACGGGTCTGACCCCTCTCCCCCCCCCCCCAATCGTCCATCTCCTCAGGTACGAGCTGGACGACCCCGTGTTCGCCCAGCTGGTGAACGACACGGACCGACTCTGACTCTGACCTGACATTGACCTCTGACTCCCAAATCGTCCCCCTCCTCAGGTACGAGCTGGACGACCCCGTGTTCGCCCAGCTGGTGAACGACACGGACCGAGTGATGCGCCTGGCCAGTCCGGGTAACATCCTCTCGCTGCTGCCGTGGGTGCGGCACCTGGCGCCGAGCGCCACCGGCTTCAGGGCCCTCTGCGCCCTGCGCGACACCACCTGCAGTCTGTTCGGGGAGATTGTCGAGGAGCACCGGAGGACGCTGAACGCCGGGAAGCCGAGAGACTATGTGGACGCGTTCCTGATTGAAATGGAGAAGGAAGGCGCGAAGGAGAAAGACTTCACGAGTGAGTCGCATGTTCGCGATTTGAGGTCAGTTTTAACTCGCATTAAATTTCCATTTCCATCTTACGATCTTTGTATTTTAATAAAACGATTCGGGTATAGGTAACGGGATAAAATTCCTATACAGCACGACTAAAAAGTTAGAGTTGCTAAGTTAGCTACAATAAGAATTGCGACCGAATGATAAACGGAAACGCCATTCCTCCATCTGACAGCGGTTCTGTATCTCCTTTCAGAGCAGCACCTGGAGATCCTGCTGATGGACTTCTTCCAGGCGGGGATCGAGACCATCAACTCGACGCTGTGCTGGGCGGTGCTGCTGCTGGCGCGCCACCCGGAGGTGCAGGCGCGGCTGCACGCCGAGCTGGACGAGCTGCTGGGTGCCAACTCACTGCGCTGGTCCGATAGACAGAGGTGGGGCTGATGGGGTGCCCGACGGTTCAATAAAATTATTGTCAAATTAATTTAATCAAATTAATAATCAAATTAATTTAATGACAAAAAGATTCGAATTGTGATTAAAATGCCATATCTGTTCAGTGTTCTTCACCGACGACTCACGACCACAAGTGACTCGATATATATATAATATGCATAGTCATGCTTTTATATTTCATTTCCATTCCCGGATGATAGTCTAAAGTGCGCGCGACGCACGAATGTCATATGTATTTGATACTGAGTTGAGTACTGACAGCGCTTATACGACACCCTGTCTGACATGTTGCGACACTGTTTCAGCCTGCCGTACCTGCAGGCCACCATCAACGAGGTGCACCGGTTCGGCACGGTGACGAACGTATCCGTGCCCCATTTCACCTCCTTCCAGCCCGTCGTCTTCAACGGTGAGTCGAGTGATCACATCACCACCGGGCAACTTTGGTGGCTCGGTAACAGTCGATGTCATGCTTTGTGACAAGGACGCTTAGGACAGGAAGTAGGAACGGATGATTGTGTTTTGCTGAATGACTAGCGCAAGAAAGCAGGGTTATGCTGGGAGGTGAAACTAGGAATAAAAGAGCTCATACTACTAACCCCGTTCTTTTTGTTGGCACTTATGTGATCCTTGTAGAAAGAAGGCACTCGAAATAAAAAAGATTCAAATGCACACATGTAGCTATAATATCAAACTGGGGAGCGTTTTAAACAACTTATATAAGCATTGACAGTAAACACAGATTCAAATCGTCACAGTCACCTAAGGTCGTTCGGTCGAAGTCCCGATGAAGTTTCACCATTCAGCAGACTTCTGAGCTCTAAACATAGGCGCCATCATTCCGAACCCACCACCGAAAATAAACCTGACATCTGAAACGACGTTCCCATTCATCGAAAAAGCGACACAATGTCGTAGCGCCGTAATGAAACGCTCGTAAATAAGGACCATCTCTGAGAACCGTTGACCGGAAAGGGCCCGTTTCCTGTCGAGGCCACGTGACGTGGGAGGGGAGCGACTGTCGCGATCTCCAGCTCAGCACGTGCCATCGTCAGTCCTGGATAGCCCGTCGGCGCCACAGTTGAGATGACAAGCTCCTGTACATAGTGGTCTCACACCAGGTATTTCTGACCGAATCGTTCCGTTCCACGGTGCGAACTAACTAGTAAGGCTGAAAAGCGTTAACCTCCGCATCGTTGGTCGCACAAAAAGAGCATCTTTTTAAATAATTTAATCCTACATCAGTTCTCAACAGGGGTGCGGGGACTCTTTCAGACTGGGAAGTGGGAGGGGGGAGGACCACCATAATAGAGATCAACCTAGGGTACCCCAAAATCTAGTTTTCTCACCGGTTTTAGGCCACTTATTTTTCATCTCTTAGCTTTTTCAACAAAAAAAGAAAACTTTTGCAAAAAAGTGCGGTATTTCGTCTCAAAGTTCTGGGGGCACCGCCCCCACGGCCCCAGAGTTGGGGAGAGGGGGGGGGGGGGGGCAAGCTGCCCCCACTGCCCCCCCCCCGGTTCCGGCGCCTATGGTTCTCGATCAATTGAAGTCACTCAACTGCACGGCTAGTTTGTTTCTCTTTCTCATCAGCGATGGTAACACGCACCGGACTGGAACGCTATACGCAATGACTAACCCATAGGCCATCATGCTCGAATAGATAAGACAACAGATAGTTTCCTAGTTGATGAGCAGCTCATGAAATGATGAAAGCCAATTTAATGCCTACATTTTGTAGATATAGGTACATTGCTGTATCGAATACCCCAGCCTCCGCTATTCAGCATGACAACGGAGTCTCCATTACTGTCTCAGGGCCATGCGGTACAGCATAACTGCAGGCGTTCGACACCACTGCCATCTATCGACTGAAGAAGAAAACTGGTAACACAGGGGCACGAACCAAACAGACATTATTCCTAGGCTAAAATTTCTCAATAAAGGCTACGTGTCTAGCGTAACGTTCCAACACAAAGCAGCAGCACAGGTTCTCCCCGAACACCAAGTGACACACTCTGACTCGTCTATACCTGCCCGCAGATTACGTGATTCCACGCAACAGTCTGATCCTGCCGGACATTTACCACGTGCACCACGACCCGAGCTACTGGAGTGAGCCGGAGCGGTTCCGACCTGACCGCTTCATCGACCAGAACGGCCAGCTGGTGCACGAGCCGCGACTGCTCATGTTCGGCACCGGTGAGTCGTCGGGGCTCGTGGAGGCTCGGACGAGTCGGTGGCTCACGAGTCACGAATCATTGCTGGGTCGGGCGGTTAGCGAGTCGCGACGGCTGAGCCGTGGGGCTCACGCGAGGCGTTGAGCCAGTCGGCTCATTACGCTTAAAACAGGGCACACCGGTACTCGGTTGCCAATAGTTACTCTTATGAGCCAGGACAGCCAAGTCATTAGCTCGAAGCATTTCTGTTCTTGCCTCAAATGCACTAAAATCATAACACCAAAAGGTCTATTTGAGACCTCCTTTCACGATCTCGGTCTGTGTGCGCAGGTCGCCGCTCCTGCCTGGGCGAGTTGTTTCACGATCCCCGTCTGTGCGCGCAGGTCGCCGCTCCTGCCTGGGCGAGTCGCTGGCCCGGATGGAGGTGTTCCTGTTCGTGGGCGGCCTTCTGCAGGCGTTCCACCTGGAGCTGCCCCCGGACGCGCCGCCGGCCGACCTCAGTCCACAGGCAGGCGTCACGTACAAACCGCGTCCCTTCCGACTGCGGTTCCGACCGCGCCGGCCGGCAGCTCCCGAGCTGAACGTGGCCGCGCTGGCGCTGCGCAGCGAGCAGAACAGCTACTGCATCAAACGCAGCAGCTTCAGCTCCAAGGTGCACTTCAAGGAGGAGCGAGAGATCTGAGCCGGCGGCGGCTGGAGTTGCTGCAACAAATGCTGGTCATGGAGTTGTATGCCAAGTTACCCGTTGTGGCTGAAGTCTGGTACACGCCGTGTATGCGCCTCGTAAGCAGTCGATACGAAGACGATCATTCCGAGATAAGGACAACTTGTGGGATCTTGTGTTCTGTGTCGCTCTCTACAATTATAGACATTAGGTCTCGTAGAGGGTGCTAGTGCTACAAGCCTTCGATATTTGAAGCTTGACCCGTATTTGATCGTACGGACGCACAAGTGTTGAATTTGTGCAGGATCTGTGTGTGAGGTTGTCTGCCCACCCTAGGGACCTGAGCCGTCTTGGGAAGGGACGCCAAAGTGCAGTGCAGTGTCGGCCAAGGGCCGTTCGCTTAGTTATTTCACATGCGCTGGTCGCATTGCTATCCGTTTTTACTTGAACCTTGTATCGCACTGATTCCCTTTGATGAGCTCTTTGTTACGAGTTCAAGACCAAACATTTATCAACCATGCGCTCGAGTAGACTGCAATCACCAGTGCCGCGCACAAGGTTATTATTCAGACTAGCTGAGTCTGCAAAGACATAGTCCAAGCGGGTCCTTGACTCCAGCAGCCATTCAGCAGCGCCGCCCCTATAATTGCTGAACCCCTGCCGTGTAGTGTCATACTCGCCCGCCAGGCGGCACCACCACCGATACCGCGTGACGATCACGGAACAAAGCCTGTTTGTGACGACTGGCCTGTCTGCGGGACGAGCAGTCGTCGCGCACAAAGGCGCTGTCGGCTCTGACTCGGTGGCCGTGTGACACAGACGGTAGTCTGTTCCAGCGGTGTAACTTTCTATATGTATGGGGGTGCAGGTGCACCCCCATCCCCTGAAAGTGCACCCCCATCACGTTAAAGTGCACCCCCATAGGCTAAGCGGCGCCCCACACGCCGCCCGACACCGATAAGCTCTTGATCAAATGGCGAATGTGATTTCCCGGCTACATTCCGTCTCGTGACCGGCGTCGTGCTGCTTGTGGGCTTGGGAAGCGTCCAGTCGTATCGTTCCCCCAAAAAAATGGATGAAAGGGGCACCCCGGCAAAAACGGGACTTTCTCAGCAAAAGTGGAGCGCCCGAGGCAGAAGTGGGGCACCTCCAGGCTCCAACGTAGGTTGGGATCGTCAAGCATAAGACTGGCGCCCCAGCGGAGGAGAGGCGCCCCCAGTAGGAATGAGGCACCTCAAGCATAACTTGCGGTTCGCCCAGTAGAAGAGCGCCCTCAGTAGAATACGGGCGACCCCAGCAGAAACGGGCGCCTCACCAGAAGAAGGGCACCCCAGCGCTAGAAGAGCACCCCAGCAGAAAGGGGCGCCCCACCAGAAGAGAGCTGTCTCCAACAGAAAAGGAGCGCCCTCAGCACAAGAAGGGCTCCCCAACAGAAAGGGGGCGCCCCAGCAGGAGAGGGATGCTTCCAGAAGAAGAGAGGCACTCCAATATCAATGGGGCACCTCAAGCAAAAGTTGGGCTCGTCCAGCAGTAGTGGGGCGCCCCTAGCAGAAGAGGAGTGTCCCCAGCATAGGACCGCCCCAGCAGAAAGGGGCGCCACACCAGAAAGGGGCGCCCTACCAGGAGAGGGATGCCTACAGAAGAGAGGCACCCCAATACAAAAGGGGCACCTGGAGCAAAAGTTGGGTTCGTCCAGCAGCAGTGGGGCCGGGGCGCCCTCAGCAGAGGTGGGGCGCCCCTAGCGGCCCCGGCGGAAGTGGGGCGTCCCAGCAGAACAGGGGCTCCCCAGCAAAAGAGCAATGCCCCCAACAGACCTACCCGAGCACCTTCAGCAGAAGTTGGGCGCCCGGCAGAAGAGGGACGCCTCTAGCAAAAATAGAGCATATCAGGGAAGGGAAATGTCAGACTCCAGCAGAAAAGTGAGACCCCAGCAGAGGAGGAGCGCCCATCAGCAGTAAGTCCCGCCGAGCAGAAGAGGGGTGACCTCAGCAGGAGAGAGGCGACCCCAGCAGTAGAAAGGCGCCCAATAAAAAAGGTGATTCCAGCAAAAGTGGGTGTCGCCAGTCGCCGAGCATAAAAAGGGCACACCCCGATTCTATAAAAGGTTGGAATAAAAAAGTAAAATGCAATTTCGTTATAAATTCAATTAATTGATTGAAATTCGTGCGAATGAATCTAATGTCAATTCGTAATACCCAACTTTATGCCATTGGACTGTGGCATTGGGTGTTTAGTGTTCATAGGTACAATTAAAATTGTACATGCAAAAAAAATATTCATTTTATTTCAAAAGTTATTGTAAGTTGTACCTACAAGCAGAAACATCGACTTCCGTTTATCGGTGCGCCAGTTAGGGGGCCTTGGTTTAATATAAATGAATTTCAATCCCATTTGCAACATCAGGCTGTGTTCAAACTAAATCGGAGGAACGTAAAATGGTGATCACTCTCAACTCTCAAGTCTGAATTTCGAAATATACCTACAAAGCATTTTACCGAAATTGAGAGACAAGGACGCACACAAGAGGAGGGGGGGGGGGTACACGGGCCCGTGCCCCCCCCCATTCGAAAGGGGGCCCATCTCAAATGGTTCTCAAATGGGCCCCTACTCAAGACCGCCGAAGACTGTCTAAAATGAGCTAAATGGCGATTAAAAAGACCAGGAAAGCCCATCTCGGGCCCCGGCCATACAAGGTCCAGATGAGGCCATACAAGGTCCAGCGCAGTCAAGGGGATGGTGATAGATGTGAAATTTCAACAACCTTCAAAAGGTCCCAAAGCGCCTCCAACTGGCGTCAAAGGGCCCTCAGAATGCCTTAAAGGGCCCTCAGAAGGGCTAGAAGGCCCTCAGTTGGCCGTAAAGGGTCCTCAGGTGGCGTCAAAGGCCCCTCAGATGGCGCCAAAGGGCCCTCAAAAGGCCTGAAAGAACCCTCAGCCGACATCAAACGGCCCTCAGAAGGTCTTAAAAGGCGCCAATGGGCCCAGTGCCGGCGTCAAACGCCCCCAAAAGTGTCAAAGGGCCCTTAGCTGGCGTCAGAGGGCCCCCAGCTGGTGTCAAAGGGCCCCTAGCTGGTGTCAGAGGGCCCTCAACTGGCGTCAGAGGGCCCTAAGCTAGCGTCAAATGGCCCTCCGAATACCTCAAAGGGCCCTCAGCTGGGTCAAAGGGTCCTCAGAAGGCCTTGAAGGGCGTCAAAGGACCATGAGATGGCGCCAAACAGCCCTCCGAAGGCCTCAAAGGGCCCTTAACTGGCGTCAGAGGGCCCCCAGCTGGTGTCAGAGGGCTCTCAGATGACGTCGAAGGGTCCTCAGCTGGTGTCAAACGGCCCTCAGAGGGCCTCAAAGGGCCCTCGGCTGGCGTCAAAGGGTTCTTAAAGGCCTCAAAGGGCCCTCAGGTGGCGTCGAAGGACCCTCAGCAGGCCTCAAAGGGCCCTCAACTGACGTCAAACGGCCCTCCGAAGGTCTCAAAGGGCCCATAGTTGGTGTCAGAGGGCCCCCAGCAGGTGTCAGAGGGCCCTCAGCTGACATCAAAGGGCCCTCATCTGACGTCAAACGGCCCTCAGAAGGCCTCAAAAGGCCCTCGGATCTTCGGGCCCTTTGAGGGCTTCTTCGTTGTGACAGTGCTGCTTTGTCGGTGAGGTGCGCGGTCGCCGTGGGTCCCTCGCTCGCCGCCGGGACAGCGAAAGGTGGGTGATCGGGGCCGTCGTCGGCCGTACATACGTGCCCTGGTACGGGCTTCCTGAATATCTGTTACGACTGGTACCTACTAGGAAAGTGGGCATGCGCCTGAAAATTGTGTCCTTGTAGTTTGTGGTATAAAAGTGAGAAAAGTTAAACCTCTGGTCTGTGATCTCGCTACGAATCATTGTAATTATTTTTCATGTCTACTCGTATGTGGCTAAATAAATATGCGTATTGACAAAGGGGGTGCTTCCCCGCTCATACACATCCGGGCTTACCCGTGACTAGCCTCCGCTTCTAGCTAGCCAGTAGCCGGGGTCGGTCGGCCGGCTGGCAGTCAGGCGCTACCCGGGCTGATTTTTGAGGGCCTTGCATCCACGCTTATTAATCGAATATTTTACGTGATTGTTAAGATGGTGATTACTAATCACTGAATCGTAGTTGAATGAAACATGCTGCGTAAACAAAAATAGAACATTCAATGCTTTGAAAATTGAACGGGTACTGAAGCAATTGTTTTATCATGTATCGACAAAAGCCAACTTTCAAGTCAACCGAAATATAATCGCGTTGGGGAACTTTTTCGGCTGGGGCCTGGGGCCCTTCGTCATGGGGGGGGGGGGGCAGTTTGAAGGTCGTGCCCACCCCGTTCAAAAATCCTGTGTGCGCGCCTATTGAGAGATATGCACCATCTATGCTCCTTGGAAGCGCCCCTATATCCTCATTGAATGTCGCCCCCATCACCAAGTGCACCCCCATCTCAAAAGCAAAAGTTACACCCCTGGTCTGTTCCGCCTGATCGGCGCCCACTTCCGAGTAGGAAACGCGGAGACGGCGTTGCGAAGTGTGTTACCAATCGTGTTCTGCGAGATAGCGTGAATGGTGCGGGAGCTTATGTTGACGTCCATGTGTGAAGATGTAATATATGCATAAAGATATGCAGCCTCATTTGTCTTGGCAGTCCACGTAAGACACGGATATCAGAGCACCTAAAACTACTGCTTACTTTGCCACCGACTTAAACGGCAACCACCCAAAGTTCTATGCCTCGGTCGGACATCCCCAAACAGGCACTACAACAGACCCACATCAAATTCCATTTCGTCATAAACCAATTTGCACCTCATGAGCTGTCTCGCCAGTCATCGCCATCCCCACCCATCCTCAAACGCATCATTTGTGTTCATATTCTTTCCTTGTATTTCAATGGTGTGGCGAGCCTCCACCTGCGTCCGGTCTCCCGCGGACAGCAGGTGGACAGTTGGTTGCTCGGTCTGTGTTCGCCTCTGGGCCCAGCGGCGGGCGGCGTCGCCTGCCGCCCGCCGCGCCTCCTTTCCTCCCTCGCGCCGGCACGCCCGGTTACGCAGCACAAAGTAACGGCAGTCGGTCTCCTTCAGTCCCACACACGTCAGATTACGCTCCGGCGCGCAAAAATAGGTTCACAATTTGTTATACAGGACTTTCTCTCGTCTCGGACGGCGCCGGACGCAGCCGGCGCGGTGACAGCCGCCCCTTTTGGACACGCGCAAGTCAAGTGTATAACGTGTAAGGTACCCTCGGCTGGAGGGCGCAGTATAACGCCCCTCCAACAGAGGCTACAAAGTATAAACGAAGCAAACTGGTCGTCAGAACCTGCAGCGCTTCAAGTGAATCTGGAAAATCCTAAGACATTCACGCACCAAATTGCGACCGACAGCCCGCGACACAATTTGTACTGTTCCCTAAAAGATATTGCCACGCACACAATCACGCATGGAGACTAGACTGGATCAGAAGTCGCGGGCTTGAGACCGCCGGGCCGGCACACGGAGGGCGCTGCCGCTGCCGCGGCCCTCGTGGCGGCGGGCCCGGCGCCAGTCCTGAGATCAGCGCCGGCGACCGCCCGGCCGCCCAGCACCCTTGCATCAGTGGAAGAATGCGTGCGCGAATCGTGTGCGTGGCCCGGCGCGGCCGGCCCGGACCCCAGGTCGGGCCGAAGCCGCCCGCCGGTACAGGAAACAGACAGACAGAACAGACGCGCGCTCCGTGCGCACCGGGCCGCGCCTTCGGTCCGTTCGCCAGTCGTCAGTCCAGCTCCACACTGCTCTCCGTAACGCTACTAATAAATAACCAGAGGCGCGTGCTGCGCGCGGGCCGGCCGGCCCACCGGCCCCCGCCGGCGGCCGGCCGGTCAGTCTCAGATCGCACGCTGTCCCGCGGCGCGGCGCGCCGGCCAGCCCGGCCGCGCGCCGACGCCCGAAGGAGGGACCTGGGGCGGAGATACCGGCCGTCCGTGTCACCGGACGCCGTCACATAGTCGGTCCTGTTCTCCAGCTCTCTCTCGCGCGCGCACAGCTCACACGAGCGCGCGCTTACATCACACCGGCTCGGCTCGCGATTTGGGCACGCCAGCTGACAATTTCGGCCCAGGAAAGAATACAACAGTTTACCATATTTACCTCTAAACGACGCACCAGCTCCCCGGGTTGGCCCGACCGTGAGGGAACATGGAAAGAAAACACCTAAGCGCCGTCCGCCGCGCCTCTGTGAACTCTCGGATAGGGGATTAACTCTTGAGTAATGCTGTTGTTCTAAGCACACAAACGCACAAGAAAACAAACGAAACACTCAGTTTCCTACGCAGCGGAATGATAACTTTAAAACGTCGTAAAACACACACCCACACACACGCACGCCCAGTGCTGCGAGGCGATCGCGCCTCGGCTGGGGCGCGTCCGGCACGGCCGGGGAGCGAGGCCCGCTCCCACCGGCCTCAGGCGGCCGGGCTGGGCGCCGGGGGCGGGCCGGCGGCGCCACCCCCGGCCCTATCACAATGTGTTGCGTGTGGGGAGTGAGCACCTGTCGGCGTGCGGCGGCAGCGGCGGCGGCGGCGGCGGAGAGCTGCAGGCGCCCGGGGCGCTGCAAAACGGGAACTACGACAGAGACAGTGACAGTCGGTCGGCCGGGGGCGGCCACTGGGGTGGCCGGGGAGCTGACCGGCGGCCTTAGTTGCCGCCCCACCAGCTGTCGCTGGAGCCGCCGCCGCCGCCGCCCGGAGCCGCCGCGTACGTGCCCCCGTAGCCGCCCATGGGCTGGTAGCCGCCGTAGCCGCCCATCTGACCGTACGGCTGGTAGCCGCCGCCGCCGCCGCCCATCTTACCGCCCTGGTAGCCGCCGCCGCCACCGCCGCCGCCCTTGCTGTAACCGCCGTTGCGGTTCTGTTGACGCACGTCGCGGCCGCCAAAACCGCCGCCGAACCTGCACACACACAGACGCGAGGGAGAGTGTCAGTTGCAGGACGCGGAAAACGCTCCGGTGAGGCAATAGCAGACGCAGATCAGTTATATCGAGAACAGCTCACAGCGTTGGTTTGAGCGTCTGCCAACAAGATACCAGTCACCACAACACAGATGAAACACTGGGAGGTTTGGGACCGAGCATTGAGCATTATCATGCACGAACGCAAGCACCATAAAGCAATGGAAACTCGTTAATAGCCGTAAATAGTGTCGCAGTACTTATATTGACAAGAAGCTTTAGACCAAGCTGACACTGACTATAATTCTAAAGCGGATGATGCAATGCCAAAGCATAATCTACTTTCACAATCAGTTGCATATCGTAAGCTCATTAGGTTGCAACATTATCGCATTGTCTTAAAATCCGTTAGCAAATATTAACGGGTACACTGAAAAGGAAAACAGTCTGTCTCATCCGCAGCAATAAATACACAGAGAATGGAAGCAATTGGAGCACTATAACCGCTCGATGGCCTATGACAACCATCCCTCCCCGACCCCCACCCCGCCCACTGCCTCTCCAGTCCCCACTCACCGTTTTCCGCCGCCGCGCCGGCCTCCTCCGCCGTGCATCCTGTGCACCTCCATGCTGTAGTTCTCCAGCCAGTCGGGTACCACCTGCTTCGTCTCCGTCAGCAGCTCCTGCAGGTCGCGCACCAGGCCACGGTTGCCCTCGTTGAAGAAGCTCGTGGCACGTCCCGTGTTTCCCATGCGTCCTGTGCGACCGATACGGTGCACGTACTCCTCAATATCGGACGGCAGGTCAAAGTTGATAACGTGCTTGACGTGCGGGATGTCCAGACCACGCGCCGCCACCGCCGTGGCCACCAGGATCGGACAGCGGCCGCTGCGGAAGTGTTTGAGCGCCAGCTCGCGCTCGCCCTGGGAGCGGTCGCCGTGGATCGAGGTGACCGGGTAGTTGTTGCGGTAGAGGAAGTCCTCCAGATGGTCGGCGCCGCGCTTCGTCTCGACGAACACCAGCGTCAGCGACTCGCCGGCTGGTGGAGAAAGGGGGGAGGGTCAGAACAGGGTGGGGACACATTACAACACAACAGCAGTGGAGAGATAGGAGACGGCGGACGCAGGTGACGCCACGGTAGCCGGCGCGGCCGACAGAAAGATCCATCAGATACGGCATACGAGGATAGTCCGGTCCGCTATACGAGTGCAGATAACATAGGATGTATGTACCCTCACGAAAATCCCATGGTGTAGCTGCTTTGAAATGCGGTTTTATACAAAGAGCCCAGGATTGAATGTTCTATTCTTGGTAAACACCATATTTAATGTGTCTGATTTTTTTTTCCAGCAAAGGCAGCATGCCTCAAAATACATGCCAATGTAGTATGCACATCACTACATGCTAAAATCGATTGAAAAAAGCACGGCAGCCACCATTATTCCTGTCTTACCCAGCAAGCCCCACAAGTATGGAACCAATCTCGACTCACGGACCGAACACTACTCGACTCCCCCGCGCGTCCACTCACGTTTCTCCTCGCCGTCCTGCGGCGTCTCCTGCAGCAGGTCGAGCAGATGAGACTTCTTCTGGTGATCGTCCACCCAGATGATGGTCTGGGTGATGTTCTCAGACGTCGAGCCCACGCGGCCCACCGCCAGGAAAATGTAGTCGTGCAGGAAGTCCTGGGCCAGACGCTGTCGAAACAGAGACAAAATATAGGTTAGAGTGGTTCAGGGGTGGTGTAAAATAACGGACGAAACGCCTACGGGCATTTTGTTTTACCGAAAACGCAATGGCTGAAAAGTAAATATGGAGCTTAGCGATAAAAAACTGGCAAATTAATCTCTGCTCAACACATGAACTCCCATAAATCTCGTTCTTACTTTTGAAAAGAAAGACAGACACTATAGCTCTATTTACGGATTTCATATTATCACAGGATGAACTGCAACAAACGCCCTAAGCCCGCTATCCTATGCCGCTGTGTGCACGGCGCACGCACCTGGATCTCCTTGGGGAAGGTGGCCGAGAACATCATGGTGTGCCGGTCCTGCGTTCTCGGCATCGTGTCCTGCTCCACGATCCGACGAATCTGCGGCTCGAAACCCATGTCCAACATCCTGTAAACAGAGAGATCAGGCGGGGATCAGTGATCGCGTCATGACCAGGCCAAGACCGAGTCTGCTGCGCAAAACCTGACCTCTACCATCCGCTCCCCAAATAGCGCCAAAGTAGAGCTGCAGAAAACAAGTTCAACTTTGCGGAGCGCCCGGCAGCCGGGTCCGCTTTACTCTCAGGCTGTCTCATAACAGACCAGCTGTTCAACAAACTGCGCAACCCAGCGGAGA